TTAGGGAGATTTTTGCTAAGAAATGTTTGTTTGAATTATTAATAAAGTTAAATCTAACAGGTCTATTATTGTAGCTTTCATGAGGCATGAAAATAATCATTATAAATGACCACTGTTGACAGTGAAGCTCAAATTTGGCCCTTCACAGAAAATAATTGCCCAGACCCACTCTAAACATTCTTCTGAGAAGCTATTGGCTAGCGATAGAATAGAAAATGTGTAGATTAAAGAAAGTGTCATTGTAATTATCAAAGCCAGATAACCAGAAAATGGCATCACCTCTGGACAGTTTATGAAAATATACAATTACCCATCAAAACTGGGATAATATTTTAATATGTTACGGATACTTTAAACACACTCTAGGTTACATTGTCATAAATTGTTACCGGCCAGTAAGGATTTCCTGTAGCTTGCAAGTCTGGTTTATGACTTACAAGGGGACAGGATGTTTAAATCTAAAGTATTGTGCCACACAGTGGTTATTATGAGTTATTAAATTATCTTTTTTATATGTTATTAAAGGGCATGTTGATCACATGTTAGTGACAATGAATAATACCATCGGCCAGCTTTTAAAATGAAGTATTCGATATGCTAAAATGTGAAGTTTCTTATTCATCAAAGCAGTGAAGTATGTGGTATGTGGAAAGTATGTGGAAAGATCTGCTTGGCGAAAATAACAACTATTCAAAAAATTTAAACTGCTTTGATTTAGCAGCCTGGGAAAATGAGGCAGATAAAGACCTTTTGCTGTGGTTTGGTGGTTTTCTTGCCCATAAAGAATGGGTTATGAATTTCTCCTACTCACTGCGGCGGTTTATTTATAGTCATGCATGCAGGATGAGGCACTGATTCAGTGTGTAGATGATCATTTTTTTACAAGCCAATTGTCTTCGTTCCCTTTAAAAAAGTGTTTTGTGATGGGTTCAAAAGTCATGCAATAGCAAATTTCTCCCGCCGACATTCTGGGTTTGTACATTTCCGTATATGACAGAAATACAGTTTATCAGTCTTCCGCATTGGTACACTTTCAAGTCTCCAATGACGAAACAGATTATCTTTACTAAATGTTTGAGAGCTATGGTTCCTTGTTTATTTGAATACCAGACATCCAGTGAAAATGATTAATTTAACATTTATATTTCTAAAGAAAACTTTTCCGAGTTGTTATAAACAAAACTTCCAAAAAAAAACAGCTGTTGTTTTTTTTTTTTTTACCTTACTTGGCACGAGAGCCAAGAATTTTCTGGTCCAGATGCTGGGACCAAAACAAACCACCTACCCATCTATCTTCCGGCCACTTATCATGGAGTGAGTCACATGAGGGCCTGGAGCCTTTCCCAGGCAGCAGAGGGCACATGGCAGGGGTATACCCTGGACAGGGTGCCAGCCCAGCGCAGGGCACACATACACACAAACGATCACACACTACAGGCTATTTACAGACACCACTTCACCTAACTTCAAGTCTTTGGGTGGCAGGAAGAAACTGGAGTATCTGGGGGAAACTGTGCAATGTGAGGAGAACCTGCACAGAGAGCAGAGGCAGGATTTCAGCCTCCAGCCCTGGAGATGTGAGACAACTGTGCAGGGTACCCACTGCGTCACCCCTCCAGAAGAAACCAGAATTTACCAGAGTACACTATAGACTGGGATAAGAAGGATAAGTAGGCATATTCAATACAGAATGTCACCTGACTCTCCCCTCCTATGACAGATGTTGGTTTGGTCCATCTCACACTATCTCTACTTTGGATTCTTCTGCCATAATTCTAAACCTCTGCTCCACACTTCCCTGAAGACATCATTGAGATATACTGAAAGCCATCTGTATTGGTATTAATTTAAACTCAATTCATCTGTAAATTTTTGGATCATAACCCCTTATGGTAAGAGTTAGATATAACAAAAAACAATGACATATAAACTATAGCGATTCCATATAAAAATTACCATAAACTACCCTAAATAGGCAGCAAAATATATACCCTATATGGCCAAAAGTATGCGGATGCCCATTTTAATTAGAGTAGTGGCCTAATAAAGCCACACCCATTGCTGAAACGTAATTGAACACACTGTCACACAATCTCCTGTAACAAACTTTATCAGCAGAATGGGTGGTTGTGACCTTCTACTTGACACCATTGTAGGATGCCACTGTCCAATCAGTCAGTTTGCTACATTTCTGCCCCACTAATGCTGTCTTGGTCAACCACAAGCGAAGTGACTGCGACGGTCAAAATGTCTGGGAGGAAGTTCAGGTGTGAAGTGGTCGATTACGCAAACGCACGGAAAGGGAACTAACAACCCAACCTCAAAACCTAGCCTGAATAGCAGCAAATCCCATAAGCAACATTCTAGCATCTAATGGAATGCTTTCCCATAAGTGAAGAGGCTCTTTAAGCAACAATGGGCTGGTCACCTTCGTATTACTTCCCTTGGTTTTGGACTGAAATGTTGGTGTTCACATACATCTGACCATATAGTGTACTTCCTCTAGAAAGAATGAACTATCATGTTTTTAATTTGCATTCTCCTTTATATCAGAACATTTCATTACGTGCAGGAATAAGAGACATAATATAGACTACACTAGGCTTTGAATCAAAGTAATCTCTCCAACCACGTCTGTTCTTTGAATGCATTCAGCAGCTTCAGGTGTGTCTCATGGGATAGTCTGTGCTTGCCTACTGACTGGAAAGGTCTTCGGAGCTAATCCAAACAACTGCCTGGCTCCAGGTTCTGCGATTGTTCCAGTCTGATATTTTGTCAAATGAAATCTGTGACACAGAAACTGCTTATCATAGTCACACCTACCAGCTAAGATACTATTCAGCTGTCTTTCATAATTGTCTATCCAGCGTAATAATACGCAGGAAGCACAGGATACTACGCAGAGGACACCCTGGCAGAATAGTGATCCATCACAGAACACACTATCACCAGAAGAGGGATTCGAACCCCAAATCCTATGGTTGTATAAGTATACTGTAGCCAAAAAAAGACCACTGGTTTAAGTAGATGAAGATAAAAACTGGTTCACCATAAAAATGATAAGATGAGAATAAAAGTGAAAATGAACCACTGTGACAGACATGATGTAATATGTGATGCGGGCGGCGATTATGGTTTTGGGGTGAGACAGCACTGTTAGCCTGACAGCATTCTTTGCCAGCAACAAAGTCACGAACTTAATATGACCTCTGACTAGCAGAAGGCATGTGCTGGGAAACAGAGTGAACTGTTAGCATTCTGAGGGATCAAAAACAACAATTTTCATGTCATTTTCAAATATGTTCTAAGATATATATAGTATAGTATTTGTTAATTCTTTTTAAACTGGAAATAGATAGAATACCTGCGATGGGCTGGCCCCCCATCCCGGGTTGTTCCCTGCCTCGTGCCTGTTGCTTCCGGGATAGGTTCCGGACCCCCCGCGACCCAGTAGGATAAGCGGGTTGGACAATGGATGGATGGATGGTTGGATAGATAGAATAGACTAGAAAGCCTTTACTGTCATCATACTGGAACACAGATGCTACTTGTACCACGAAATTGCAGTGGCCACTTCTAAAGTGGAGACATTACGTTTGCATACAAACAGCTTTCTGCAATAGACAGTAGTATAACAGACCGTAGGTAGTAGGTAGGTAGTAAACAGTGATACAATGGTAATGGAATTACACACAGTGTTAAGTATTGTATTATAATATATTAGTATATAGTATAATATAGCATAGTATAATAAAAAATGATTGCACATTGTCCTTGTGTGGAGGTGGTGTATGTTGTATGTGTGTGTTCAGTGCAGTGATGGCTTGTGGGAAAAAACTGTCTCTGATCCTGTTGGTCGTGGTCCTAATGGTCCTGCATCGCCAGCCAGAAGGAAACAGGTGAAAGCACAACTCCTATTGTTTTTAAATGTGCCATTAAAAAGAGGAAGAAATGGCATTATTAACAATGGATTGGACCACCCACAAAAAAACATTGTTAGGCAGGTCAGGAACTTAATATTTCTGTATTAGCCATGGCTTAGTCTGTGATGATGCTGCTTCGGTGCTATTTGTGTATATTAAATTCCTGAAACCAGTTTAGGAATGCCAAGAGAGTAAATAAATATGAGCTTACCATCAGGTGACAGGAGCCTTCTTTGGAATCTTCTCTGCTTGGATGACAGCATTTTAGAACAAGGCGTCTCACAGATAACATTGTCAGACACTGAATCTAACTCGATCAAGAGGGACCAATGTTTGGTAAATAGGAAACTCCCATTGTTATTTTCTGTGGGCATTTTTCATTTGTTTTTATACATTTGCGTAACATGCTAACAATCGTCAAAGCAATCTTTTAATTTTGTACTAGTATTTTGTAAGATTTTGATTGTCCTTGTTTGAATTACAAATGCATCTCAAAAGAAAAGAAAACAGACTGATGTTTCTTTGTTTTGGCTTCTATGTATGGTTGATAAAAATTAGTTTACTGAAAAGATGAACCCTTATTCCACCTGAGGAATTATAATTGTTATAATTTAATTCTAAAACAGATCTTAAACAAGTTCTTAATGAAGTCTCACCCTCAAATTGATCCTAAGAATTTTAGAATCTTAGGTTTCAAATGTGAATTTTCAATGATAGATCTGAATTATTTTTCATGATATTCATGATAACTCATTTTTAAATCTTTATTTGTGGCAAAGTTTGCTCTGTTTACTTGTGGTACTCCATGTACTCGGTGAACACAGAAGTTGATTCTGCTTCTCATTATATTGTTTTTTTATGTTATTATTACTCCTAAACTAAGTGCGAGAAAATACTTAACAAAACAAAGCATTTTTGTTAGTTAAAAAAAAAAAAAGTTTGAATTGGTTTTCCTGGCAAATAAAAAGCCTAAATTTCCTTATGAAACAGCAAAGGCACTTGATATTGCACAGGGAAAATTCTGCTCCCAAGGTAAACAGGCACTGACCTCTGTGCCGACCTCTTTTCACTGAGAAAATGGAGAAGCAGATGGCTGATATCCTCCTCACGCATAGAGAAGTTCTGTAAGGAGCTAACAGGTGTCAAATTTCGGGGGGGGGGGGGGTTGACCATCTCATCAAATTCTGGATTCAGATCTCGAATGCCTTTCTCTGTCTTGAGTTTTCCATTAACTCTTAGGTTCTGTTTTAGTATTCGTTTATACGACCGAAATGCCTTCCTCACATGATCTCATTCGTTAAATGGGTGTTTCATTCTTCTCTCTCACTGAATTAGAGCAGTTTCTGAATGTCGTGAGAAAATGCGACTGGAATGTTCTTGAAATGCCGCACAGCGATAACAATAGAACTCACAGGGGATGAATATAGTACATTTTTTAGGGGCCAGTTGAGTCATCCAGCTAAGCAATAAGGCTGCACAACACACACTTAAGTATTGTCATTCAAACGTATGTTAGAAGGTGAAGAGGGGGGTCTGTGTGGGTAAATTGGTAAAATCCTCAGTACAGGTCACATACAGGTGATGACTGCATAGTTGCATTGAAACTTCCATCACAATGCAGCCCTAGTAAACAGGATTACAACAATTAAATCGGTTCAAGTACTGTCTACTTTTACTAGACCATTCTATTGTTTTCAAAGTAGAGCACAGCCCCTCAGAGGATAAAACAAAAAATGTCATAATCCAGTATTTCTCATGAGGTCACTAGGTCCTATTTTTTACAATATGCTGGAAATGTTAGTTGCCTGATGTTCAGACATGTGTATTAAATTCTATTCATCTATTTTTTTGTTGCAAAATCAAGATTAATGACAAATGAGTGTTGCAGAATGAAACACAAATAACAGAATCTGAGGAAGCAGTAACCCTTGCAAAGATCAAGATATTACAAGAATTAGGTTCAAATATACAATATCCCTGGTTTTCATAGCAGCATTTGTCATCATTGAAAAACAAAACAACATTATTTCAAGGTAAATCCATCTCTGTGACTGATATTTTGCTTCTAGGTCCATTAGTATGACAAACAGACTACTGCCTTTTTTAGCCAGCAAATGAACTCAGGCAGCGCATTTATAAAACTGTCTGTGGGAAGTCTGTTCATGAAGTCCTCTAACTATGGTATTTGTGTTATCAGGGTCTCCGATAAGCTCACACGAAGGCAGATTCCCCGAATCCCAGAGCCATCCAATTTTTCAAGACTTGCCCTGCTTAAACAACATGGGTCCTATGCCTCCCTTAGCAAACTGGACTCAGAATTCAAACACCTAAAGAGACGTCTTGATAATTACACCAAAAAGATGGACAATCTACAGCGTGGGAAGAAGCACATCATCCTGATGGCCTCCACTAGGACTGGCTCTTCGTTTGTTGGCCAGTTTTTCAACCAGCAAGGCAAGAACATGTTCTACTTGTATGAACCACTATGGCACGTGGATACAATGTTGATGTTAAAGACTGGACAAACTAATCAATCTGCTTTAGCTAAAGCCCACCGAGATGTACTCCAAGAGCTGTTGTTGTGTGATTTTACCCTGCTGGAGAGTTTCATTCAACCCCATCCGAAAAATCACATCACCACCACTCTGTTCCGTAGGGAGTCCAGCAAATCCCTGTGTGAGAAACCGGTGTGCTCCCCATTCGTCAAGCAGGTGGTTGAGAGGTATCCCTGTAATACCAGACTTTGTGGGCCGTTAAACCTTACACTGGCATCTAAGTCATGCCACCAGAAGGAGTACCGGGCCATCAAGACAGTTCGGGTGCGTCAGCTGGGAAACTTGCGGCCACTTGTGGAGAACCCCTCCCTAGATGTGAAGTTTATCCAGTTGGTGCGTGACCCACGTGCTGTCCTGGCCTCGAGGATGGTAGCTTTCTCTGCTAAGTACAAGAACTGGAAGAAATGGGCAGTGAACACAGGAGTGTCCCTCCATGACGTGGAACTAAAAAAGTTAAAAGCAAACTGTGATGAAATCAGGGCGTCTGCTGAGCTGGGCTTGAAGCAGCCAGATTGGCTCCAACGACGGTACATGCTGGTGCGCTATGAGGACATAGCCAGATACCCCATGCAGAAAGCAGCAGAGATGTACGGGTTTACTGGGATTCCGTTCACTCCTCAAGTGAAACAATGGATCCTTAAAAATACCCAAGCTTCAAAGGAAGCCAGGGGTGTGTACTCAACACAGAAAAACTCAGCGGAGCACGTGGAGAAATGGAGATTCAGCATTCCATTCAAATTGGCCAAAATTGTGCAGCAGGTCTGTGGTTCAGCTATGAAGCTATTCGGGTATAGGTTTGTAAATAATGAAACTATGCTAACTGACAAGTCTATCAGCTTAATCGAGGAAAAGAATTTTAAATAACAAAAAAATAGTAGGTCATTCACTGTCATAATGGTTTTAATCTATAACAAAGTGGTGATCTTTAACTGTCAAATGATTGACTGTTTTATATATTCCTAGTTTAATGTCTAAGTAGGGAGGAAGATTAATAATACTGGAAGGTAAAACTCTTTTTTAAAGTTTGAAAAGTTTTTTTTACAGTTTAATGTTTAAATAAGTTGAACAGTCAGCAAACAATAAGAATGCAATATGGATGCAACTCTAGAATGAAAGCTGCATTATTAAGGTAAAATTATTTTACAGTAGAACCTCAGAACTTGAATGCCTCCTAACTTGACCAACGTGGACGCTGAACGGGGCTGTTGGATTTTTTTTTCTAGTTGTACCTAGACCAAAATCTTGGAACTGGACCATTCCTGCTAAAACTTGTATGGGTCGAGACATGTTCAGCTCTATCATTTAGGTCCTCAAACAGGTCGGTCAAGCTGCACAAAACAGGACAAAACAAAACACACCTGCTAAAACTTGAACGGATTAAGACACGTCTCTTCTGGCCTGACACAAAGGCAAACTGACCTACCGGGACGGTTATGGCTCTGAATCGCTCTCAGTCTTGTGGTGCCTCTCAACTGAGTTCAAGGTGCGAAAGCTGTGTTCATATGTTCGGTGTTAATTTTTTGTGCTTTATCTACAATACATTTAGTGATACAGTAATCATGGTCCCTAAGAAAGTGAGTGGTGATAGGAGCAAACCAAAGAGGATAGCTGTGTAACTGTATAACTTGAAAAAGAAATAAGCAAGACTTTATGGTAGTGCACGTCTGCTCTTGCTTCAGAGTATGGGATTGTCATTTATTTCATGTTCATTGCTTTTGAATGTGTGTATTAGTTTATTATTGATTGTTAGTGCTTTTATCATTAGTTAGGTAGGTAGATAATTTGGTCCTTGATATCCTTTATACTCAGAAAAAAAACCCAGAAGATGTTGTTCTTGAAATCCTAATGTATTTTCAGGACATAGGCCTATTTTGCTCTTACATGACAGAAAGAGAAAGAGGGAAAAAGTAAAACAAATAAATAAAGGTTCACATTAAGTACTAAAACTTAGTTGTCTTAAAACAGTATTACTTGGCATTTTTCATTGGAGGTCCTTTGCTCAGGAGCAAAATTGGCAAAAACGCGTCTGTCAGCTTATCAGGTGAGTGGGAGTCTCTGGTTGCTGGGTGTGAGAGCCGTCTCGCTGTGTCAGTCAGTGCACATCTCTTGTGGGTTGTGACCTGAGATTAGCTCTGCAAAAGTATAATTCCATTAGACCATTGTGAAATGGAGGAACTGGTGTCAGCTGATATCATCTGCTTCTTAGTAAACAGGGAAGTTACTGATAGACAGGTTATAAAATGGCATGTAACTCAAAGTGGGATAAAACAAAAGTAAACAAAGAATAAGATAGAAAAGGGATCAGTAATGTCATCCAGGTAAATGATACTGATTAATCAACTGATTAGTAAATCTAATACTTTTATGGATAATTGCATAAAAAGTGAAACTATGAACTACTACACTTGTCAATTGTTTGACGTACACATTTTCAAATTCAGCAAGTAAAATACTTATTTCTGAACACAGTGTAAAATTTGTCTGCACTGCACACAAGAACTGTTCTATTTAAGATGGGACAATAATATGAGTGAACAGGGAAGCTGGGTACGCTTGTGTTTTAATAGGAAGTTTAATCTGAACTCATTTTCCATTCATAGCTCATGTTAACAGGTAAGAACAAATACTAGATAGTCCAAGAAAATCTCACATTGGACATTAGGAAAAATTGCCCACTGGACGGGGACAAATTCACAAGCCCGCTAAAGTCAAAGGGACATTTATTACAGCTGCTGACTCAACCTGGTGTCTAAAGCTGGTTTTCCGTTGTAAATTATGCGAGTCGTACCCACACTGACATGGCCCTATTTATTAACAGGGCCAAAAGCGTGACTAAATTGAGCTGGTTGCGTCACCACTGTCTGATGGGTAGAAATGCATGGAGATGCTGCTGATGTGAGTCGATATGTATGGATCACCTGAAGGGAAAAATGACATATTCTATACATTCATTATTAACATTCATTATAAATAGTATGCAGTGTTGGGAAGATTACTTTGGAAATGTAATTCGTTATAATTACAAGTTACACTACTATTACATTTTAAATAGAGTAACTATTTCAATTACTATATGAAAGTAATGTAACTAATTACATTTGATTACTTTTTGATTACTTTTCTAAATTATGAATGAATATTCTCAACTGTTAACCATTTTGAAATTTTGTAACCTGGCAGTGTTTACCTTACAGCAGTACTAAACACTGACTGTCAAACTCCTTTCAATACATGAATTAACATGATTATAATTAATCAATTTAATACCAAACATGTGTGCCACGCCCCCTCGTTAACCCCGTGTGGAATTAATAATGATTTTAAACAACGGGTAAGAATAGATCCTCGCTTCATACTCAGTGAAAACCCAGATTCCCTTAGTATAACGTCATAACATTAATGTTACATAAAATATACCTAAAATGTCAAAAAAAAAAATGTTAAAACTCAGCCTATAGTTATTAAATTCTAATGTGTGTTCATAATATAAACTTTTTGGGAGTCAAAACAAGATAAACTATGAGTGATTTGACCACTCCGTGACGTTTCAGGATTACATTATGATACAAACATTTTATATACTTGCGAAAATAAACGGTTCCATTTTACTAATGATCTGAACAGTAGTTGCATCAGACAGGATATGAAATTTCAGCTGATTGTGTAATCACTTACTCCGTTTAAATCAATTTTTCAATCGCAAATCACGGAGTAGCCTAAAACAGTGTCTTCGCAGCACTGTAAAATAAAATGGATTAGCAGAGTGGTAAGGCTGCATCGCCCAGGGGGTTAGCTAGTTAGTGTTACGTGCCGTTGTTTTTACCCCGCCTCCACGTCCGAACTCCGCCCACGACCGTGCCCGCTAGACCTGCCCTGGCTCCACCCCCACCTCCGGGCCCCGCCTTCGATTCCTACTCGACCCCATCACTTCTGTCCGGAGCCGGACAGAGAGACACTTCGCTAGCTTAGCTCATTACTTGATTATTGTTGGATTGCTTTCTTGGTTTGGATATTTGTGTATGACTTTTGATTTCCTTGATTTACGATTCTTTGCCTTACCCCTTTTTGTACTTTCGCCCGGTTTTGCTTGCTTTTCTGGTTATCGATCTTTTGCTTGTTTTTTTGGTTTACGTCTTCGCGCGCCCCTCAAACATTGACGCTTTGCTGTGTGTATGTCTTGTGTGATTGTTTGGTGCTTAGGGAGTGATTGCCGGTTTTGTTTGGAAATTTTTGTGACTGTTTTTGGATAGGGAGTAAGGAGTATCACTTGTTGTTTGGTTTTACACTTAGTTAAGTTAGAATTGGGTTGTGTTGGATAAGTGGGTTTTTGTTTCTTATTTTGGCGATAATCACTCCTGAGTCTTTCCGCACCTAGACCATTTGTTCTGTGTCTGTCCTGCGTGAATAAAAAAAATATATATAAAAAGCTATAAAAATATATTTTCAAAACTCAATACGACATAGCATCATATCAGACATATTACCAATAACCTTAGCATATTGAAGGAGGACGACACATTTTCTGTCAACGGGATCAGAAGTTCCAGTGTGGCTTATAAAGCGTCGTACACACTTCACGATTCATTGTGGTTGTTTACGCATGCTGTCAGTGTTTATGCATGCTGTCAGTGTTTACATTTTGTTTTGTTGTCCTATGCGCCGTATCTTATGATTGAGTTGGTGTTGTCGCCGTACAGTCTGCATACCTGTCATAGCAAAGATTATCGGATCCGTATCGCACAGTGTGATGGGTAATGATTTTATAAGATTGCTGAAATCACACAGTGTGTACCAGGCATTACACTTTAGAAGCATGGTGTGGCACGCTGAAGGTAGGCATGTCTTCCCTGCCTTGTTTAATATAACTGTAAGCTATATACAATAAGCTGCACCTACCTCTAGATGTTTCCTTAGGTTATACATTGACTGTTTAGATGTCGACAACATCTTTACAGCCGGCAAACATGCACTGCATTGCACTGCTTTTTTTTATATTTCCAGCAATGGAATGCATTCCTTTCCTTGTCTTCCATTGCCTGCAACAGAAACTCAGACCGCTCAGGCAAGTTAATTAGCAGAATTGGCTGCAAGTGTAGATGCGACAGGATAACCTATCCGAAGCATCGAATAGTTTCAAACTTTCGGCTGTGGAGGAAAATAGCTAAGGAGGATGTTTTGCATAAGAAAAACACGAAAAGCAATAAAAATACTGGTATTAAAGATATTAGCAAGATTTTGCATACAATCTTATGATGTAACTAAAATTGTAATCATGAATATTTCCATAAGTAACTGTAATTTAATTACACTTTTTTCTCTAGTAACTGTAACGGATTACAATTACATTTTTTTGTAATTAAATTACGTAACGCCGTTTCATGTAACTCATTACCCTCCTACGCTGATATTGTCACACTTTGCGATGTATTGATGCATTCAACATAACTCAAATTTGAACATCTCTAATGTCCTACTTAAAGTGTTACAGGACAGCTGAATGGAATGGATTTGTAATGTAAATTTATGCAAGCTAATGCTAATTCCACTGGCATTTGATGCTAACATAATACAGTGGTACCTCGGTTCTCGAACTTAATCCTTTCCGGACTCCAGATCGAATCCTAAAAAGTTCGAGTTCTGATCGAATTTTTCCCATAAGAAATAATGGAAAACCAATTAATTGGTTCCCGGCCCCCCAAAATTACAACTAAATATGTTTTTTTTTTTGTTTTTTAGCATTTAAACACAAAACGAACAGGATAAAACAAGAGCGTTTTTTTCTTAATGGCTTCCAAAACGATAAAGATCTTATCCCAACATTACCGCTGTCCTGCCCCGATCGTCCGCTCCTTCCGTGTGCTCCACAAGAGTGTCCAGCTGCAGACGCCTGTAGAGTGGAGCTCCACCGGAAATACGTCACCTCCACAGGAAATACGTGATTTAAAGGGGCGTAAAGTGGAGCTCCACAGGAAACACGTGACATGGAATTATTTTTACATGCCTGTGTTG